TATTTTGTGTTGGAGTGTGGTTTCTCTTTTGAAGACATTTTTGACTGAATAAGTTAAGGATCACGTATCCTTTTTCTAAAAATAATCACAATGAATGCGGAATTTTGTGTAAGGATGATGATTATAAATTAAAAATTGTCATCTTTCTCGGATGTTGTTATATTTCAATATTAGATTTTAGTATTTCATTTTTTTGTCTTCGAATTTTATGTGATTGTATTCAAAAACTATTAAAACAATAAAACTTCTTCAAACAAAAGCAAACTAAGGATTCTGTTCGTTTGGCAGTACAAAATTCGAATCAGCAAATCAATTCTTTATTTGATTTCTTTTGTTTTTATATTTTGTTAGGGGAACGAGATGTTTTAGCTGATGTTAGCATAAAATCAGGTTACTTATCCGCTGTAAGCGATCTTTAATTAAATTATTTATTCTGTGTCATCGTGTTTCTCGTATACCTTTTGTCTACATCTTCACAATACCTTCCAACGCAAAACCAAAGCATACAAAATAAATTAAATAAATACATTGATATATAAGGGGTTGCTGAAAAATCGACGTTCAGGCTCGAGAGGATATTACGTTAATTATATTAAATATTAAATGGATTAACATAAATGTTAAATATCGTTTATATCAAATACATTATTTTATTTCTCGTTGATTTCTTTTATCTTATTCTTATTCTTCTATATAGCTTGTTCCTTGAGGATGTGGGTGATTGTGGCTCTTCATCCTCATTTGTCGTATTTAGTAAAGTTTAACTTTCCCTATCTTTCTCAATCCTTTTAAGCCAACCATTTACCCAATTCCTTCTTCCTCTTCTTCTTCTTCTTCTTTTTCTTCTTCTGTGTGATGTGTACCTTCAGGAGGTTGGTGATCAAGGCTCTCCACAATTTCCTGTCTTTTGTGGCTCTTATTATAGTTTCTCTTTTCGCTCTCTTACCTAATCATTTACACAATACCGTTAGGCAGGGATTATTTCACCCTGTACAATGCCCGCGATTATTAGAGATAGAGGGTTACCTTAAAGTGTAATAATAAGATAAGAGGGACAGATATCTCTTAACTCACTTCATTGAGTTAAGATTTTAGTTCTTCAACAAGAAGTAGGAGACGCTTTTGAACTCTATCAAGACTAGAATGTGAGGACTAAGCAGGTCCCGCCAAAATATGACAACAGTACTCCATTTTCGGTCTGATCTGGCTCTTATAAAGGTAGAGTATAGCTTGAGGAGTCAGGTATTTACTGGAGTTATACAGGGAATCGATCATTTTAACTGCATCTTTAGCGATGGATCGTATATAAGAGTTCCACTTGTTGTCTGGTGTGAGTTTGAAGCCCAGTATTCTGCCAAGTCACGTTGCCTCTTCGCGGGGTCATCCGTTCATCGTGACTGGCGGGGGTTCGGGGTCTGCTCGGTGGTGATGGAATGTAACATGCGCTGTTTGTCTCGGTAACCGTCTTGTCTTCAGTATCCTCTCTTTCATCATTACGTACCCTAGATATTTCAACTGTTCTTTTTAGGATATTAAGTTTAAGTGTCTTTTTTGCGTTCATTTTCTCCAACATTGCCTCATTCCTGCCTATTAATGGTATTCTCAGGATACTTCTGTAGAATCACTTTTCTGTCACATCACGTCTCTTCTTCATCCGTGGGGAGATTTTCGAGCATTCCGCGCCAAAAGGACGATTGACATTGCATAGCAGTTCAATATATTACTTTCTATTCGTACTTAATTGATTTTGGTATCTCCAATTTGTAATTCCCGATTTGTGCTCTTCTTTTTGCGGAAAACCGTATATTATGTCTTCTTAAAATTGATGATTCGTCTTTTCTTCTTGCGTTGTTTTAGTACATTCTGTAGGATTCCCAATAGTTTCCTTTCTGGGTCTGCTATCGACACTTCTTATTTTCACATCTTTTTCATTATTACATTTAAAATCGGAGAGACAGTTGAAATTAATGAGGAAAGAGGGCGAGGAGAATATAACACTCACTGAACACAGTGAATGCAATAATGGCAAAGGAAGCACAAGTAAAATGCTTGACAATTTTGGACTGTTAAACACTCATATCTTGAAGGAAAACAGTACATAGGAATATTTTATTACCAATTTTGCTCCATGGTCATGGGCCTCCTCATACACCAGGAATAAACAATCCGGTTTCACATTCGCCGGGTACGATGCGTTTAAGATCCTATTAAGAGGCAACCGATCATGGTTCTCAATTTCCTGTCCTTTGTAACTCATAATAATGGTTAATCCTGATCTACCATCCATTTACTGAAGCCCATTAAGAAAGTTATGCGTTGGTTTCCTTGTTCTCTCTGGAGCTTAAGCTGTCCTCTGGGTATCGGATTTTCCAAGCCATCCTTTCTCATTATATGCCCCTGAAATCTTCCTGATGTTAAATATCTTTCCTTTTTCTCTAAACCCTCATCGTCGCTTCCATGTTTCATCCGTGATATCCTCCTGTAGAACCACGTTTTTATTGTTTCAAGTATCTTCTTCATCTTTGAGGAGACTGTCCAGCATTCACTGCCCTACAGGTGGACAGATATCACAGTTCAATACTCTTTCCTTTATTTCTAACGAAATTTTTCTGTCTCTTAATAAACTGCTTAACTTTTGTAATGCATCTTTCGCTATCCTTATGCCTCTTTCAGTGTCGCACTTTCCGACCTTTGTTAAAACACTTCGCAGATATATAAATTTCTTGTTTAATTTTGGCATCTCCGATTTGCAACTCGAACTTTGGGCTCTTCTTTTAGCTAAGAAGCACGCATTTTGTCTTCTTGCAGTTAATGTTTAGTTGTTTCTTCTCGCTTTCCTTGACTACTTTCTCTTGAAGCTTTTGTACTCTTCTTTACTTATCTGCTATATGTTTTTTTTTTTTTTTTTTAAGCATTCAACCCCAAGCAAGGCGGGAAGCCACTAGCAACCAAGGGGTTACAGAGAATTGGAGCGAGAACAAAAAGGAGTGATAGAGGAAAGGGTGAGGAGACGGTCAGGGCATTTGGAGACGTCGATTGATGTTACATAGTTGGAGATTATAGTTATCAGCAAAACAAGAAAAAGGGGGTCCACAGGTGAGAAGTGCGAGACATGAAGCTATTGGAGTAGAAGAGACGGCTACATTTAGCAGTTTCGACAGTGAAAGTGTGAGAGGGAGATGCCAGCCTAGTTGAGCGTTTAAATTCATGAAATCTGGGAACCAGCGAAAGCAGCTCATCGGAGCAGTAACTGTGAAAGTATTTGTAAAAATGACAGAGGGAGGCAATGGCATGTCTATGAGAGAGCGGTTGCAGACGAGATGCCAGATCAGGGCCAATTACATTGCATATCCGTCTTTGGATTTTATCAAGGACATTGAGACAATTAGAAGGGGCACCAGACCATATATGGCAGCAATACTCCATGCAATAGCGAATGATTGATTTGTAGATTGAAGGATCGACTCCGGCGAGAAAAATTTCCTGGCGTGGCATAGGGAGACAACTTTCTTAGCTGTGGACGAAACTATTGCCTCAACGTATTCGTTATCTACATACCTTATATTGTTAAGATTGTGCCCGCCAATTACGAATCCTGGTATGACTTCTAATTTTCCCAGAAACGCGTCGCTGTAAGGTTGAATATGTCTGCTGAGAAGAAATATCCCTGTTTTACATACGTTTTTAATTTTAATTTTCTATCCGTATGCTGGCGATTTTCTGCCAGGGTCGATTCTTGATTATTCTAATATCCTTCTCAAATATGTCAAGGTTGCTGTGCAGTCCTCACAGATATTTGGGGCTTACTTCATTGGTCGCCTTTGTGTAATCTATAAAATCACAGTTAAACCTCATTCTGCATTTGTATTGCTTTTTTTGATAGCAGTCTGAGCATAAATATTGCTTTACTTGTTCCAGTGTCTTTGACGGACTCACATACTGCTGCTCTATTCATCAGAATTCGAATGACTTACGAATACTGCAAAATAGTCTTAAAGTTAACTCTGTAAGAAAAGGTACACCTTCTAAGATAGGTCTAAGAATATTTTAAACCGTTATTAAATTTAAAATTTGAAAACTTATCGATATTTAATTGCATTATATAATTTATTCGAAGTGTCATCCTCATCTTCATTGGCATATTCACAACGTTTCAGCTGATGTTCCCCCGGCCTTCTGCAGGTAATTGAAATTTCGGACCGAACAGTTTTATTTTCGTCCCCCGGGGTAGATTGTTCTAGTTCGATGTGACATGCGTCTTCCGGATGTCTGGGTTATTTTCCTTTAACTCAACTTTCTAAGGTTTGGTTCAACATTGCTGTGGAAAAAGACGTTGGTTAGATCCAATGATGAGACCCAAAGTGTTGCGAGTTCAATACCAGGCTACAGAGTGTTGAACCGAACTTGGAGAGTTGAGTTAACGGAAAATAACTGAGAGATCTGGAAGAGGCATGGCACGTATATCTAAAACAATATACATCGGTGGTCGAAAATAAAAGAGTTCGTTTCGAAATACTAATCACCTGAAAAATCCGGAGCTTACAACGGCTGAAACGTTGTGAATATTGCAATAAAGATGAGGATAACCGTCCAAATAATGTAAATAATGCAAGACATATTAATACCTCATCTCAGAGATATAGACAGTTATTGATATTTGCATTCACTTTCTCATTCACTTTCACACTGATGCCCTTATAAATGTATGAAGCTATATGTTTCTTTTCCCAGTTATTGATTAAATAGCATAATAGCCTGAGATGAATGTGTAAGAGGCAGTTCATGTGAATGTATATAACTATAAATTCATTATCATGTAGAAGGTACTATGAAAGTACCCCATGATCTTTCTTATGAAGTCATGGCAATTCACTTATAATAAGATAATACATGGAGAGCTGTGATCGCCTATATCTAGAAGTGATATGACAATTTAAAAGCATTTCATTGATGAAAGTAATCATCTTTTATTTAAAATAAATCGATAAGAAAAAAGAAGGCTACCGATGTCCTCCATCATACTTAGCTCTCCGAGAGAGAGAGAGAGAGAGAGAGAGAAAAAAAAGCAGCGCGTCAAAATGCACAGAATTCTTGTCGTGCTGCGTAAAGCGGAAACATCGTAAATTATTTAATATTTCAGGTTGGAAATGTACACATTACGCACCGATTATCTCCCCTTATTTGGATTACGCCTCGGTCCATAAGGGAAGCAATTTCATGGCTGATTGGGCTAAATTTTCTGCAAATATCAAAGCATGCCAGATTCATGTCGGCATACCTGCGAATGCATTCGAGGACATGAAACAAGGGAAATAATAATTACAACTCCCCGAATAATGCTACAAGCAGCAATAACAATAATAAAAAGAGAAATGAAACAATAATAACAGTAATGCAGAAGGAGATGAAGGGAGAGAAAGGCGATGAAGGAGAGCAAGAAGGTGATTAAAGGAGAACATCCAGAAGAAATTAAAATGAATAGAAATGATACTGATGATGAAAGATAAATTAAAATGGTGGAGTTCAGAGATGCGTTATGGCAGCTGTAACAAGGGAAAGAACATAGCTGATATTGTAATCTTCTTTAGGAAGCTTAGCTTATACTAGTAAAATCTTATATAATGTTAGTAAGACTTTGTTGCGTCATTTTCCAAACAGATAACTCTTTAACATTCGACATTAATTCAGAATTTTTTCACCACTGCATGTAACAGTATATTTTATAAAATTTTATTTTCACACACTTCTCACCTGTGCAATTCTCTTCGAAGCTTTTGCTTCCCTGTCGCCTTAGAATCTTCAAAAATTTAGATACAGCATCAATTGTCATCTTTTGTCTTCCTGAATCATTTTCCTTTATTGTACTTTCTCCTCACCAAAGTCTCCTTTTTCTTCTCTTCAACCAAAAGTAACCACTTGCGCAACATGATCGCCTTGTTAGCGTGAAAATATTTAAAACAAAACAACCAAATAATAGTATGCAAGTCTGGTGTGCCAATATTTATATTCAAACGTAATTTAGAATTAAAGATGGCTTAGATCAAGCGAACCCTGATTAAGAATGCCAAATCTATACACTACACATGACACGCCTAAACAGGAATCATCTAATATAACAATTGTCTATATATAAAAAGGCTACAGTACACTCTATAATTTATAGAATAATGAACATCTTTGTAAGCATTTTTTTTTTTACTTTGTATAAAAATTATTCTTTTTTCTTAATTTTCTGTATAATCTGATTAAACCAGAATATAGTTGCAATATTTTAGAAAAAATTGTTATAAAATATAATATTCTTCGATTCATCCGGTAATCACTGGTACAAATGACACGGCAAATAGGTACCGCGCGATTTTAGACAATGATGTGTTTTTGTACTCATCTGCGATTTATGATTCTTCTTACTAGCTCTTGCAATCAAGCCCTATCCCAGCGGTGGGCAATTGTTTTGGCTCTGAGGCCACTTTGAGAGGGTCGTGGTTAGCAGAGGGTTGCACCTTCTAAAACGTATTCATCTGTTAAAATTACATTTAATTTAATGCGAAGTGCAAATTGCAAGTTGTAGCCTCTGTCTGTCTGTCTGTTTATTATCGAACTCCTCCTCGGGGTTTGGAGATAAACACTATAACCATATATATTCTGAAACTATATTACAGAGGGTATTTGGATCAGAATATTTCATTTTTATCAAAGAGGTCTCTGGTGGACACCCCCCTCCCCACTGAATTTTTTTTTTCTCTTTGACATAAATTTAATTTTGAAAAAGGGAATGACTCCTAGGGTACTTGAATAAATATATTTCATTTTGATCAAAGGGGTTCTCGGGGGGGGGGCAAACTTTCACTGATTTTTCTCCATTTGATTTAAATTAAATTTAAGCAAAGGAATGACTCCTATCCAAAATATTGAAGGAGAAAGCCAGAAGATGGAGGTCACATGGGCAATATCATTGGGTAATGGTGAAAGGCACCGTTTTCCTCCACAAATTATAAACAAGAGTTTAAAATCAATGATCATTTTCTTACCAAAAATGAGTGAAACGTAGTAAGGCGCTGGTAATCAATTAATAAAACTAAAACAAAAGTGGTACACAGAAAAGGTTTTCATTAAATTTATTTGTGTCCAAATTACACATCAGCCAGCACAAGTAATTTAATGAGACAAATGTAAACGTTCACACATTGTTTATAATTCTTTTCAACATCAGGGGTGAGCTCCTGCCTGCAAGTTTATGCCAGTCACAAAAGAACTATATTTAATCTTGTTGATTTTCATGCAAGAAAAATTTTGCTCACAAATATATATATAGATCTAAAAATATTAAATATTTTCCATGTAAATTTTTTCACACATGGAAAATTGTCAGTAGATGGAGATTTGTAAAATTCTATCAATGTTAAAGAATCAAACATTTCATTCGGCGTGTGATTTGACTGCATGTCAATTGGTTAAATCTGCACCTCCTCAGGTACTTTATCAATATCAGCGGTGGAATGATAAAATAAATTGAATTCATGCTCAATTTTCTGGAAGTCCTGAAGAGCCACTTCCCCTGCAACGAAATATCCAATCCATTTAATTTATAACATATTAACTACAAACACCATTTCATAATCCTCACATCGTATTTTGATTACAAAAATCCCCTTTATCTCGAAAGTATGTAGAAAGAAGAGGATTTCATTCTGCAGTTGCCAAACTTGTTTTTGTATTTTGCGCAGAATCAATCACTGCACACTGTTGTCGTATATACTCTGCCTTCATGTCCTCAAGAAGAGATTTAAATTGTCGATGTTTGAGCGCCTTTGCTCTGATTATGCTCACCAAGTTCACTACAGGATCTACCAATGTTTTAGGTTCAGTGCAGCTTTTCACAGGCTTTTCTGCTGCAAAATACAATGAAATGACAAGATAAGATTGTCTGGGTGTTCTGATTTGAACTTGTTCTTTAAAAGTTTAAACATTCCCTCATTTTTCCAGTAAATGCTCTTGTAATGCTTGCCTTTCTCTTCCATGACAATGTAGTTGTCTCCACACAATGCGCAACACAATCAAACAAGACCTGACCAGTGGTTGTATTTCAAACCATGTACTTCCTTTCTGATGACAAAATTTTTATAAGTAACTTTGCAGTGTCTTGCCGGTGCAATCAATCGATGCTAAAGAAAACCAAACAAAATCTTTGTCTTGTCGTTAGTCCGCCAATCAATCGATAGCTAAATGAAAAACATCAAACAAAATCTCTTTGCTCGCCATCAGAGATTTCAGCTGTTCTGTTAGTCCGCCATTGATTAAGTCTATTTGCCTCATTATAGTCCTTCTTGATTAGGATTGGTTTTGTAGGCTTGAAGATTGAGAGTTGCTGGTTTGTTTCAGAAATAAAAATGAATTTTAAGGAAATGGTTTACTTAAGAACTATTCACACGTCTTGTCTTTATTAAACATATGAATTTCTTTTTTATTTTTGCATCAGAACACAGGACGTTTACCCAATCTACTACTAGGTGAAAATTGCTTATTTTTAATAACAAGGGAAGCCATCAGTTCAGGTTTATTGGCTTTAAAAATTGAACTCGATTGCAAAAAAATGAGAAAATTTTAGTGCGGTTCTATTATTACCTATGGAATTTTAAGTGTTTGCTGACTTGCTTCATAAATATATATAGCTTTATACAGAAGCTTCATTTTAAAGAGGTTTCTTTTCTCACACATATCGCTTATGGAAAATCTTCATAAATATGACCAAAAAAGTCTGCTATTTCTTTCTAATTTTTCCAGAACCTGAACCTTTTCTTCCTTGGGAAACATTCATCCTGAAAAAAGGACATTTCAGTAATTCGCTAGGCAGGCATTAGAATATGAAAGTAATTCGAGTATGCTACGAATATGGCGTAAGTTTTTATTCAAAATCTTTTTATCTGTATTTAATATGAGACCTCATTGAAAACAAAATCTATCGTCAGAGAGATGGTGCAACGTGAATCTTCTCGAATTGCGAATCAAAATTATGTTCTTATCTTGTCAAAGTTTAATGAAACATAGATGGTAAAGTTCATCACTGTCGTCAATTGGGTTAAACACACACACACATATATATAAAAAGCCAAAATACACATAATATATATATATATATATAAAAGTTTTGGGCTGCAACCCCTCTTTATTGGGAAACACAAAACATGATACGGCAGATAAACTTTAATTTAATTTTTCTTCTGTTTTTAATTTAATTTTTAGAAAATAATTATATTGAGATTTTTCTTTTTAACTGGACTTGTTTTATGTATGTATCTAGAGATATAGCAATTTTTTTTTTTGAGACATTGAGAACTTTAATTATGCGAAGGAGGATCATATTTTGTCAAAAAAAATAATTTTTATCTAATTTAAAAGACCTCATTGATCTATCGTCAGAGAGATGCAAGTGAATCTTCTCGTTAGCACTTAAGTTTATATAAAATATAAAAAAAAAATACTGGGAATGAAAAGAATTTAATTTTAATAATTATATTGAGATTTTCGGCTCTTGTTTTACCTAACATATTTTGTAAAAAATAATTATAATTTAAGCTCTCTCCTAATTTTAAAAAATAAAAGAACCCGGATTATTTACCTAACGTTTCCTCTCCTATTTTTCTACATATCTGCACACACACACACACACACACACACACACACACACACACACACACACACACACACACACACACACACACACACACACACACACACATATATATATATATATATATATATATATATTAAATATGTTGACTTAGAGATGTATATGAATAATTATAGGTCAGAGTAAAATCCACTGAAATCATGTGCATGTTCCTAAGGTCATTACTGTACAATACTTATGCAGCCTCGGCCAAGTGACCTTATGAATGATATCACTGCAGACATAGAAGACTGGTGAGTTGAAAGTTTATTCCAGGCTTTTAGTGATGGTGAGGCACCTGATACGCAAACAAGTACTTTTTCGATGCATGATATGACCCAGTATTTTCCAAGTAAATTTTACCGAAATCCTCGCACTGTTTGTATAGGCTTGTTATCGTTTTACATCCAGGTTTCATTACCTCCTAGTTCATCATACACAGTCACTCCAACCGTCTTTCTTATTCAGTCGTACAACAATATCAATAGGGTTATCATCAACCTTATCATTTCCACCACGACTGAGTGTGGCCGTGGCGTAATTGCGCAGCTGAGAACATGACCATTTCCTTCCACATATTATCCATTCATGCGCAGCGGGTCTTGGGTAACTAGATCTGGCGGGGACCCTCAATCTCCAGATCAAACCACAGCAGATATCCTCCAATTCGAGTAGTTTGCCTTGTTCAAGGACACATAGATGTTAATTCTATCAACTGAATGCTAGACAATCTCCTTGCAGATGAAGAAGAGATTTGAAGCAACAAAATGTGGTTCTACAGAAAGAGGCTGAGAATTCCATGGATTGAACATATGGGCAATGAGGAAGTGTAAAAGAAAATAGAAAGAAAAAGGACACATGTACTTAAGATGAGAAAGAAAGAGTTGAAATTTCTAGGTCTCATAATGAGGAAAGAGGGTTTGGAAAATTTGACACTTACAGGATATTGAAAGCAAGAGGAACAAAACTAATGAGATTTTGGAAATGTATGGCAGAACAGGGTTTAGATGAGAGAGAGTGAGCAAAAAATGTACTAAGAGCTTCAAACGAGAGAGGATTAGTAAAAAGTCAAATATTGCTAAAAGCTACTAAAAGATAAGAAGTTGTAGAGGGCCACGACATATAGAAAGCCGATGTCCCTACGCAAATCTAAAATTAATTATTCATTTTATGCTGGTTTAAGAAGTTCACTTGACTCAGTTCCAAAGTGTTTACTCGGCCTTGTGGGTGATATATTACTTCCCACCCTGCAACCACTTTTCATTCAGTCGAAATGTCACTACGCTTTCACTATTCTATCGCCATTTCCATGGAAAATCTTCTGACATGTTACATTCCTTGGTTCTAACAGTTCAAATCCTACTATGTTATGTACTCTGGGTCTAATCAACATCATTCCTTTCGTATTCCATTGATAAGGAGAACATTCCACTAAGACAGCTTCTTCATCAAAACTGTTACTTTCTGGAACACACTCAAAAAAGGATGATTTCCTGATCACTACAATCTTGTACTTTTCAAGTCTATGGTCAACCGTTAATTCGCATACATATTCTTCACATTTTTCTTCCTCTTTTTACGTATTTACGAGTAAACTCTCATTTAGTGTCTCTTAAGCCATGTATTTGGAGAAGAGCGCTATAAAAAGGTTGTATCAAGGCCATATATGCCGTTCACGAGATCTTCAAAATGGGTGGATGCATTCCGGAAATACATTTGACTAAGCTGAAATTAATATGGCGAAAGACGACAATAGTGGGTCACTAAGTAAAGTTCAAACTCATTAGCAATAACTGGGGAGACGAAGTTGATAATCAACACTTTATGTCAGGCGACTCACAATTTTCATACATTTGAATGGCAGCTGGTAAAAAGAAATATTAAAAACCAAAATGGAGGAATATTTTTTCGGTACAATAGTCGTGGTTAATTGTGTAAAATAAGTACGAAATATTAAGATGATAAAATGTTTCTATGTTTACGTGTGACGGAAATCATGTATAAAAAGAAGAAAATAAAATAAAAGACACGTAAAGAAAAGTAAAATTAATTGCATCAAAAAGATTCACTGAACTGATTGTAAAGAAATAAAAAATGAAATTACATAAATGAAAGAAATGGAATTTTAAATTAAAAATAAAGAGAAATAAAGTCAAAGACATAAGTATACATTGATGTTAAAGAAAATTATGTATATTTTAAGTAAATATTAAGAAGAAAGAGAAAGAAAATTAACGTAGAATAAACAGAAAATGTTACTAAAATAGAAAAATAGAAGAAACAGTGTCAAACTAAAATAAACAGAAGATATGAAAATGGAAAAAAAAAGAAAGAAGGAAAGACTTAAAAATGGATGGAATGAAAGAAACAAAGAATTACATAAGAGCCAACGCCATGTGTGAATCGAAAGTGTAAAAAGAAGAGTGAGTAACACGCTAAGAAAAGAAAAAGAGAACTAAAAGAAAGTCTGAGAGAAAAAATGGATTTCCTTGAAGCAAAAAGATTAAAAAGAACACGCATTATTTACATGTTCTGCTTTAGTAATTGTCTGTCTTTTGTATATAGATTGATGCTACAGCAAGTTTTCCCTATTTATTTTTGTCATATGTTCTTATATTGCTTGCTTTTTCCGCCTCCTCGCAATGGGCGATCGTTTTTGCCCGCCATGTTTAAGCTGAAAGATAAAATATAAAAACACCGAGCCAAGAGGATTCTTTCAGCGATTTTTTCAGTCGATTACACCGACTTTTTTGTACCTTTCGTTTTGAACCATTTATTCGCTTATCGTTCAGCTTATCTTTTATGTTTTTACACCCTTACTTTTCGTTTCTTTCTACTATCACTTTTGAGCTCGCATACTTTATCCTCTAATGCACCCCAATATTTCACTTGACACCCATATTTACAACACACACACACACACACAGAGTGCGAGTGCTATTTGAGGACATTTTTAGTATGTTAAATAAACAGCAATATCTTACCAAACAATGTAAATATTTAATTCAAATTGACACAAATATCCTTCATCATACTTCTTTATCTAATTATTCTATGAAACCACCTTTGGCTTCAATGACTGCTTCTATTCGGGCTCGAAACTGTCCACAAGCTGAAATTAAGTGTGCCCTATTCATTTTGGACATCACTTGGACAATAGCGGCCTTCAGTGCAGCTATGGTACTATGAGGATGTCGATTAGTCTCCCTTTCAACGATGCTACATAGGATTTAAATCTGGCTAGTTATGGGGCCACATGTTGGGGGGGGTCACATGATCGTATAAATTCTTTGATAACAAATCCTAGGTTACAATGCCTTTGTGAGAAGGTGCAGAGTCTTGTTGAAAGACATATGGCCTTCCATTGCATACTTTATTTATCCAGGGCTTAGCAACCGTTTTAACAACGTTAATATATCCAGCAGCATTGACCCTAAGACCTTGCGGGAAAATGTATGGTGGCATGACATGACCTTCACTGCTCACAACTCCTAAAACCATCAAACTATCCGGGTATTTGTTGTGCATCACCCTGAGTACTTCAGAAGGAGATGAATATAGCTACTTACCATTTCATCTGTTTGTTTTCTGATCTTGGTCAAAGTTTTTTCGACAGAGAAAGATCAAAGCATGCCATGTCCGTGGGGATTTTTCAGTTTCTTTAGCCATGAGGCGGTTTTCCTGTGTCTTTGCCGATATGAATTGGCCTTTCCTCATTACATATGACTTATATCGAATGTCTTGATGTATCATGGTTATGATAGTCCACTCTGATATCTGGAATTCTTTGGCGATGGACATCATTGATCTTCCGGGGTTCTCATCGATGATGTTTTGAACATTCCGTATAAATTCTGGTGTTCTCACGGTATCAGATCACTGTGAATGCTTTTTTCGTTTTGCCACAGGGGAAACATTGCCATCATATACCTCCAGCTCCAACCGAACCTTATAAACAAATGATTTGGCAACAGGTGAAAAGTTACTGATTTTTAAATCACTATGTTTTGCAGCTAAAACAACTACGACTGCATGTCTTTTCATTTCTTGGGTTAACATCTTCCTCTGACTGGCTTATCTGAAATAAAAAGTAATATAAATGACTTTAGTGTGTAATGAACTTAAAACAATATGTCCTCAAATAGCACTCGCATATATATATATACACACACACACACACACACACACATATATATATATATATATATATATATATATATATTCAAGCATGTTTTGTGGAATAATTTAGATATATTGTCTATTTATTTTAATACTCTCAAATTCACGGATCAGTTTCTTAGTGTAGTTAGAAAACCAACTAAGAAAGACGCCGTAGTTTTATTCATTTCTTTTATTTTCCAAAGTACTTTCAATCTCATTAAAGATCATCTTCAAGGGTGAGATTGAAATTACTTTGGAAAATAAAAGAAATAAACAGAACCACGGTGTCTTTCTTACTCAGTTTTGTAACAGCTTTACGAAAATGATGCATGAATTTTCAAGGATTAAAATAAAAATAAATAAACATAATATGTCTAAATTATTCGAACAAATCTGCATTCAAGCATGCTTATGCGTGAATTCAGATATGTTGCATAAATACAGAGACATATATAGATGGTAAATATTTCAGACAATTTGGAAGACACTAATTCTGGAATATTTTGCTGATTAAATATCGTCTTCAGCCAAATCTCCACTGGTGAGATAAAACATATTCACGTTTAACAGGACATATTGAACGCAAGATGGACAGAGGAAAATAGCGTATATCTTGTTGAGCTTGAATAAATGGATAGCAGTAAAATGTTTAGGAGAAATAACAAAAGCACAAAATTTCTTAAGAGTTAAAACGAGCAGGAAATTTAGGAAAGCCATGATCGCTTACGTCCTGAATTTGTACTTTTTCATGCTTGCTTTTCCGATTTCGAAATTAGATTTTACTAATAACAACTTTTATTTACATATTCATTTGTTTTTTTCTTTTCTCACGTTATTTCAAATGCAACTAAAATCACCCGGCCATATATTATAACCAGCGGTTAATATACCGTCGAACTTCGTCAACCTATCGCCCGTTCTTACTAAACATATTCTTGTTCATTGGTAATGCTTCTCTTACTAATTCTCACACACCCAGTAACTTCTTATGTCTTAGTGGCTTTACTGTCATACTTGGGGTGACATCGACTGAAAAAGAAAATAATTATGAAAAAAAAAAAATCAGCCCTCATTAAGAATGTTAGAAAATGAAACATGAGAAAAATTAAATGATAATGTAAAGATTTCAGAAAAAAAATCAAAAGATAAAAGTGGTTTGAGCAGCTGATGTAGCAAATTTAATGGAAGATAAATTATACTAAATAAGAAGTACGTTATATACAGAGATGATCCTTCCATTCTTGTCATTAGTGTAACAGTAACCTCTTCAAGTCTACGGCAAACCGTTATATATCCTACTTATACTCAAAATATCTCATCCCTTTACGTAGTGACAACAAGACCATTCAATAACCGTCTGTCTTATATGTCTAAAAATAGTATTAAAAACATCATAAAAAGATAAGTGTAAGTTTAATGAAGCAATACTAGAAAAGTATTTCTCAAAATAATAATTCTTGAGTGATGAATATAGAGTTATATTGGATGGATTCGGCAGCTAGGCTAGTGACCGGTCTTCACTGAAATAGTTAACAAACATAGCCCCCCAAGATAACAATATTTGGGACTATGTCTGTTAAAATTCGGTGTTGGTGCCAAGTGAAATTCAGCGAAATATTGTATGTTATTGGACAGGATAATTTTGGCGTTGTACCATTCAAAACCCAAGAAAATTTTACTTATTTACACTTGCCGTAAAATCCGGTAGTGATTATAAAAAAATATAAAATACACGCCCGGTATTAGGTCTCGCACCTCTCGCCTGTGGAACTCCCTTCCCTATTCCAGTTTCCCTGAGAGCTATAATCTCCAGCTATTCAAGTGTAATGTCAATCGACATCTCCAGTTGACCTATCCGCTACCCTTCTCCTCATACCCTCTTCTATCACTCTTATCTGGTCTTGCTCTATATTTTCTGTAACCCCTTGCGTTCTAGTGGCTTCCCGCCTTGCTTGGGGTGAAATGCTTAAAAAAAAAAAAAAAAATAAAAGGTATGTGTTTTTAAAAAAATATCCGATATTAATTATAGCTTACAAAAAGTAATTTCTTAATTATAGGCTTCTAAAAATATCTATAATATATTATAGGTTTAAGCTTATAACCTATCAATGCACAACGTGCCATTTTGGTCATTAAGAGATAAGCTAATGAAAATATTCGAACATAGCAATGAAGATTTATATTGTGAAATGTCGACTATTGCCCACCTTGTCGAAAATCTTTCAAAGATATTGAATGTTAACATTTTCACCAATAGAAGTTTGGTTTGGTTTGGTTGGGTATGATTTGTTTTGTTTCACGGCATGTCAACCACAATGGGCTATTTAATGCCGACAAAATAACATTTTTTTTCAAAAATGTATAGCTGGTAATATTTTTTTAATGTATAGTTTGTTTTGTTTTGGGGCATATTAACCTCAATGGGTTATTTAATGCTGACAAGTTTTTTTTATTTCTGGTAATATTTCTTTTTTCAAAAATTTACACAAATGACACTAATATTTTTTAAGTATTTCTAGTATTAAAATCTATTTTTACTTTTTCATAGTATTTTGAGTCAGCTTGTGGGGTCAACTATTTTCCCATAGCTGGGACCTAACAGGTGCTACCAACCCCGGTCAGGTTGGACCTGAGAACACCAGCAATTAAGAGGTGGTTCTACACTCCTCAAAACCTCCTGATCAGAGGCCTTACTGTTGGATGTAGTTTATCGTCTTACCATGGATGTGGATGGAGTTTATCGTCATACCCAGGACGCACCAATAGAAGTATGGTTACCAAATATATATATGAGAATAGATACAGATAATCAATAAAAACTTCCTGCTCAGTTATAAAAAGGATTACAATTGGGAACAATAAAAATGTTAACGAACCAATTGTTGAAAAACTGATGAGTTCTATAGAATGTCAAGGGGGAGATATTAACATTTAAAATAATAAAATAGTAATTTATGGTTTTATGTAAAATATTGTGTTAATCGAATATGTGTTTCTAACAAATACAATTTTAGAACTTAATTATAAATACAAATTTATGTCGAATTTAATTCGATTGCAAATCACAGGTTTACATCATCTAGAAAATATTGCTAATGATTTTGGTATCTTTGTCAATTGTTCTACAACATAATTCTTTGGTTTCAACCAGCAAAGCTCAATATAAACTGTCTCAGGTGAATCAATAAAAAATGTCGAAGATTTTATATATCTAGGAATCGTGAAATATTCTACTGAAATGAATGTGAAAATTAGCATAGCTAAAGCTTGTTCCCCCTTGAATAAAATGGGTGCCATCTGGAAATTTGATATAACTGGTCACCTCAGGATTCTTTCGACCGACGGTAGAGGCAGGGTTAATCTCTGGTGGCACTGTCTGGGCATTAATTAAACATTTAAATTTGATGGAACCCACATTCGGATGCTTAGAACTATACTTAACATCTATTGTAGACAACGCCCACCTAAATCACTTTTCTATGGACACATCACTAATATTTCTACAGTCTTACGCGAAAGTAAAATATGCTTTGCAGGTGAGCAAAACAAGAACTTGTGAATGATCTACTGCTCTGGACATCTCGACATGGCGCAAACCGGGTTGGTCAATGCCACTCTAATGACCTTTCGCCCTTGAGGCATGAGCGTGATCTTTGGCGTGATAGAATCCTGAATCTCTGAGATAGCTAATAATGATAATAATAATAATATAAAATAAATTTCAGCATCTGAGGAAACTCAGTCATAGTATATTGACGCAGGTTGCGCTTTTAAATGTTATAGTGAACGCTGTTTGTTGACACCAAACACTCATATTGTGGGACCGTAAAAAGTTAGTGGCGTATCCATAATTATAGTTCTAAAATGTTCTAACGATTTAAAAAATCCTGTTATATTTCGTGGCGCCATTGTCTTCATTCCTGCAGACCCCAACTCCGCATCATATATTGTATGAATGAAAGACGGTTTCTTATTCTTATTCGCTTTATTATACGAGAGGGAACGGCCGTGGTAGCTACGATTCCTAGGAGCTAGTGGAAAAAAATCTTCATGAGAACGCATACCGGCTTAGAATTTAGCCACGTGTGTTTCATCTCTGGGGAATAAGGGTGACTCTTCAAAATGTGTGTTGCCCTCTGCTGGCTTCTAGTAGTTCTGGCCTTATATCCAAATCTTTAGCAAAGACAATTGATCACTGTTAGAATTCCACTCCTACCGGCCTTTCTGACCTGTAGTTTGCAGCCAGGGGTAGATTCCGCAATACTTTAAATGTTAACGGTTCGGCTAACTTTCAAAGTTACACCAAAGGAGTAAACAGCATGTTTAATCTATTCTGGGTTGATAGGAGAATGTTTGTACATATATATATATATATATATATATATATATATATATATATATGCAGTAATTTAATTTTAGTTGATACCATTATTTGAAATAGACACACCAATATTTATCTTTTAACACTGCGTATTATATATTTCAAACACTGCTATCCACTAAAAATAACTTTTGAATTAATAAAAATGGAATAAAAGTAAAATCTATTAATTCTTTAGAAATTTATATAAACAGTGATTGTTACGGCTAATAATGCAAGACTATTCGGTAAATCAAATCGAGTTCTCTCAGTCACCGAGTGTTTATCTAAAAATAAATACACTTAAATTCACCTTCATCCCTGCCGTCGGCTTAGTGATAGAATCCCCGACTAACACCAATTCAGTCGGTTTTCGATCCTTGCTAGAGACAACCGGACGTCTAGCTACACTGATGAGTTGTGATACAGCGAAACAGTCTGTCTGACAATGTATATATATATATATATATATATATATATATATATATATATATGGGGGGGAGGATTACTCAATATCAGAGATAGTGCATTTACAGATATATAAATTTGTTCATGGGTATCAACATTGCTTGACATCTGCCTGTTTAACGCTAAACATATTTCTTATTGAATACATTAATGTAAAAATATGTAAATATTCTTTGAAATTAACTTGAAATCTCTACGAAGTTCTGTTTCAGACCAAAATCCCATTGAAGCGTTGACCCATGATCCAGATAATTACTATGAAAGTAATTAGCCAGATAATTTGAAGGCTATGATTGTTGTTGATTTCATTCCTCATTGGGCACTCCTCAAATGTTAATCTAAAATTTGTAAAGATATCATTAAATCTCTTCCGTGTACTAAATATTTATCTATCTGACTAGTGTTAAATGCCGTTGCAGGAATTCAAGCTTTTGAATGTATTTTTTTCAAATGTTTATACCCGCCCCCTTCTCATGCGAAAGATTTTCTATACGCATTCTTCCTACTATATCAACACAAACCTTCTACCAAACTAAATTGGGCCTAATATATATCTGATTGAATATCATGAATTCTAGCATTTTGCTTCTCGGTGCATTTTTTTCTTTTCCTCTCTTCGGAATTGTCTTTATTCTTTTACCTTGTTTTAATTTAATTAATTATCTTTCTTTTCTGTACATTTTTATTTCTTTCTCTGCCGTAATTACTTTTCCTCTTTTTTATCGTTTTTTTTTTCACTTTTTCTTTCTTTATATATCTTGCCTTCTTCCTTTCATTTTCTTTGTTTTTTTTGTTTGCATTGTCATATTTTTGTCCTTCGATCTTTTGTTTATTCATTTTTGTTTCTTTTGTTCTTCTTCTTTCTGATTTTCAGCCACTTTCTCTCTTTTTAATTTATTCCACTTGCCATTCCTTTAGTTCTCTTTTATTTCTCTTCTTTTTCCTAGCCTTTCTTTCCATATTGTATTTCTTTCTTTCTATAATTTATATCCTTATAGTGTCTCTTTCCATGTTGCGTTTCTTTCATTGTTTCCGTACAGTATTTCTTACTTTATCGCTTTCTTTCTTTCTTTCTTTTCATACAGTATTTCTTTCTTTCTCGCTTTCTCTCTTTCTCTCTTTCTTTCTTTCTTTCTTTTCATACAGTCTTTCTTTCTTTCTCGCTTTATTTATTTATCAATATTTTAATTCTTTCTTTTTTCTTTCCATATTTTAGTTCTGTTTTTCCTCTCATATTGTATTTATTTTCTTTCATTCCATAATCTAGATATTTCTTTCTCTCATTCATGTTATTTCTCTTCTTTATTATTATTATTATTATTATTATTATTATTATTATTACCGCCGATATTTTTTCTCAATAGTTTTCTGCTTTTTAGCCTTTTGTATGTTTATATACGACTTACCCACTTTTTTTACTTCATATTTTATATAGATTTTGCAGAACTGTTTACAATTTATTTTACTTATCGGAGGAACAGACGATACTATTTTATATTCCTTCGTTTCTCTTCCTATCCATTTTTTAAACTTCTTATCCTTTTTGCTATATTAATTTTATTTCTTATCGATTTTTGCTTATCCCCACTTTCTTTTTTGCACTCTTTATTTTAAAATTTTTCATGTAATTTTTTACCTTCATATTTTTTCTTTTACAATCATTTTCAATTTCCTTTTAAATTTTCTTCTAATTTTTCACTTACATCCACTTTCTTTCAGGCATGTTTTTTTTTTATGTTCAGGATTTTTAACTTCATTCTTTTCCTATGTTTCGTCTTTTACGCATTTAATTTATACATTTCAATTTTTTTGTGATCTCACGTTTTTATTTTTTATATTTTGTTTTACATTATGTCAATTTTTTTCATAGGATTTTGAAATCTTTACTTCCTTTTATACCTGATCTCGTTTTACAAGTCTCGCGAGAAGTCGACTTGTCATACAAGACAACCAGAAGCCATCGATACGGTACAAGAAGACGTTTAAATGATGTCGAGGATTGGAACGGGAATGACTGGGATTGGAGAATGTTTGGTGGGAAAATGTGCGTGGGTAAAAGGCGAGGAAGATGCAATATGGAGCGTGCTAATATCTTGGTCGGAAATTTTTTGACTTAGGACTTGTACATCAGCTGTTGCGTAAATCAAGAAGATTCATAATCAATTTGGATTAAATACAGATTCGAAGTTCACGGCTGATTGGTCGGCGCATGCGCGGAACGAGAATACAAAATCACCTAAGAAGGGAAAAAAGAATCAATATGATTGACCCGACCTTGGAGGCGCTGGGAAGTTGAGCTGAAGATCACCAAGGAAACAAGAGACTCAAAAGAGAAAGTGTGAAAAAGAAAGGGAAGGTCTAATATAAAGAGAAAATGTGTTTCATAAAAGGGGTGAGTTCAGTAGAAAGGGAAAGTGTAGTTAAGAGAGGGGAGAGTTAACTATGAAAAGAAAATATATTTAAGGAATGAGAGAGTTGATCATAAAAAGAAAGCATTGTTAAGAAAGGGGAGAGAGCAACAGAAAGAGAAAATATGCTTAAGGAATGGGAGAGTTGAGTATAAAAAGAAAGTATTGTTAAGAAAGAGAGAGAGAAAAGAAAGAGAAAATATGCTTCCGGAATGCGTGTGTTTTGAGTATAAAAAGAAAGTATTGTAAAGAAAGAGAAAATGTGGTTAATAAAGGGGAGAGTTCGATAGAAAGAGAAAGTGACGTTAAGTAAAGAGATTGTTCAGTAGAAAGTTTCTTCTCGGAAAGATTTCATATCAAGTAAAAAACAATTCTTAATTACAAAAAAAAAGAATATCCGGAAATGATTTTAAAATGCAATGGAGTTGCAGTAAGAATGTAAGCTAAAAAATCTTAAAAGACTTAACAGTGCAATAGTTATATAATGGGAGAACAGTTAACAACCTTGTCTTGCAGACAATCATGACTTCGATCAATAAATATGCGTGTAGTGTAAGAATTATCATTACTGAAAGTGTAATCGACTTACCGAGTTCAAATTCTGGCCGTATCTGTTTTGTTTCCTTACAATTGTTATTTATTTCTTAGCATCAAGACTAAAAGCCTGACACGGATCTGATTAGTTCCAAAATTAATCATATTTTAAGAATAAAGCGAGGCTCAGATTTTCAACGCAGAATTATTAAGTATTTTTAACTGAAATTTATATAAATAGAATTATATTGTGGGCGGGAAATCCGCTTTGTTTCTGTTTCGTTTGTTTTGTTTTACGCCATATCAACACCTCAATAGGATATTTAATGCCGGCAAGATTTTTCTTGTGTTAATATTTTTTTCTTCAAAAAAGTATGACTGGTAATAATTTTTCTTCAAAGATTTATTGCTGGTATTTTTTTACAAAGTATCTCTGGGATTAAAACCTATTTTTACACTTCCATAATGTTTTGACACAAGTTTGGGGGTTAATTATTTGCTCATAGCTGGAACCCTAACAGGTGCTACCAACCCGGGTTAGGTTGGACCAGGGGACACCAGCAATTAAGAGATAGTTCCACTCCCCTCAAAACCTCTTGATCAGAGGCCTTGCTCTTGAACGTAGTTTATCGTCTTACCCAGGACGTGGATGTAGTTTATTGTCTTACCCAGGACGGGTGAAATCCGGTTCGCCCCTGCGAATTTGTTCAGTATGAACATTTTCAAGTAAAATTGCCTGATGTTATATAAAGCTGTCGAATGCCTTTCGAAAAGGCATGAATCCAAATGGCAGTGGAGATTTGGTTCTCCAGCTTCTGGTAGCAACATGTCTAGGATGACAAAACACTGTATTCAAAACCTGGCCGAAGAAGAATGGGTTCTGTCAGGATATTTAGCACGAGACAAATTCCCTGTTGCTAAGTATGACTGTAGATCCCGATATCTTACCGTATGAGTGATTCTAAGTTTGATCAACATTAAGACACTCACCCTTGTGTCTTTTTGTCAAACTAATCAAACCTTATAAAGTATTGTACCTTGCAGTGAGAATCTATTTGTAGCAAACAACTTGTATTTAGATTGTATCTTTCTTTGATAGAATTAATAGGTAGTGATTGGAAACAGAACTTCGTAGAGATTTCAAGTTAATTTCAAAGAATATTTACATATTTTTACATTAATGTATTCAATAAGAAATATGTTATTTTAATCTAAGTAGATTTAGAGGCTTCCACAGAATTGAAGTCCTTCCCATTAAAATAATTTTTCCCGGATCTAAATAATTAGAATCTAAATATGCCAGGTCAGATGAGTATGCTGGGTGTAGTATAACATGACAGTGATGCAATAAGACATGTGGGCCTGCGTTGTCCTGGGGGAAGAAAACACCTTTGCGATTGGCTAATTCCAGAAAATTTTCATCGATTTCTGATTTAAATAGGTCTAATTGAGATTAGTAACAATCCGAATTCAGTGTCTTATTTTTAGAACGGTGTTCGTAATCCAAAATGTTCTCCCAATCTGAACAAAATGACAACCTCATCTTCTTCGGATGCAGACTAGATTCTTAGGTTCTTAATGCTGATAATTTTGTTTTATTCGAGGTATTTTTCGCTCTACACTGTTGAAAGCAATCCATTTTTCATCGCTTGTATTCATTCAATTCAAATTGGGTCGGCTTTGGAAAAAATCGCAGAAGGATTATCATCGCTTTCAATCTGTCTTGACACTGGCGATCAAAGCAATCCACATATTTTTCACATGCTTTGCACCTATCGAATGAACAATTTGGCGTATCTCTCCGCTATCCCATGTTGTGGGAAATGGAGTACTGTTACTCAGCCTCCTGAAACGTTCCGAGTCTTCTAGATTAAAATTTCCACTTATGATCAGTAATCACATCTACGAGACCAACTTAACAAGCAGCACATATTCTTTTATTTTGTATGGTGTATTTTTTTAACTTTTCGGAAATAACAGTATCTTATGGCGAAAATGTTTCTCATTTTCCACCATTTTTACTTTGATGTAGAAATAAAAACATTAAAATTCTCAGTCTATACACATATCCTATTTGAAATGTTAAAATGTCATCTATCAGAGTATAAATATATCGCATTTCAGTCACGTGTTATAAGGAACGTGTTCGATCATTACTTGCTTTAAAAGGCTACTATATTTTTATGCAATCCAATAAAATAATTCAAAACAAATAGCATTTTATAGAGAGGCTTTTTTTCCTGATATGGCTTTTAATTTGAAGTTGGGTCAAAAACTCAGTTACCTAATAAATTGCAATTTCAGTAACTTATAGTGGAATCGATTCCAAACTGGCTCGAAGGATTTTCCAGAGATGCTTAGCCATGTTGTCCCGATAAATATCCAAAACACGTTGATATGTTCTACGATAGCTAAAATTGTGAAAGGTGAAAGATGTTCCAAGGTCTCCGTCTTCACCAAATTCCATAAATGCTTGGTTAGGACCATATTGGATGAACGTGATGACTACATATTTCATCAGTACCTACCATCATATTCCGTGTGATTTCCTATAACACGCGTCACTTTTTCATGAATAAACTAACCCAGGGGTCGACAAACTATGTGCCAAACCAAGGTTCTAAAATCATTCAGTGTGCCAACAACATACGTATTTTTATACAAGTCAAGATCAATATACCTGTGCTACAATATATTTTATATAGTAATATATAGTATATATTAAAATTGAAGCAGCTAAATATCTGCATGCCATTGAAAATTGAAAATTGCTTGGCGTGTCACATGTGCCAAGCACTGGACTAACCGGTTTTAACTCTGAATCTTTAGATATAAGCGCACAACTGATAGAGTTTTTTGTTTTCCCAGGACGTTAAGATTCGACAGCGTAATTTCCAATTATATTGGCATGATGCTAACCCATGACTTTTGGTATGTCAATATATATTTCCTTTTTCTCAGGATAGGAAAGCTTTTAATAAATAAATTCAATTATTATTGCAATAAACAAAAAAAGTATTTGAATTTGTGTTGATCTTTAAAATGTAGGCGTTAAGCGATCCAGATAATATCACTATTACGATTTTCATTTCTTAGTTTTTTTTTAAGATTCGAAATTTAAATTCAAACATATTTCTTTGCCATATTCAACGATAAGACATGAGGGTATTATTCAATTGTTTTCCATTTGTATGTTATCATTTTGATAAAAATTGAATTAAGTTTTATAGCGTATGTAAACAGATGTTCGATTACAGATGTCAAGTTTACAAAAGTAAGTGTGAATCCTGTCAGGTTGTCTGCTTTTATTGTAAGGATGATTTATCTTCAAGCTTACGATCTGGCCTCTCTTCTGTGGAATTAAAATGATATGAACACCAAGACTGACCTTTGGAATTAAAGAGATTATGGATTACTTCAGGCGGTTTCTTGGTGAAATGCTTGTGTCTAATCTAGCTACAGTAAATCTAACTGGCTGAATTAGAAAAGACATTTTAAAAAATAACAAAGCCATGTTGTATTAAAATTGGAAAAGTTAGATATTTTCTATACGATAGAGTGAATCTAAAAGCTAAGCCAACGTTTACATTATATAGAAACTTAATAAAATGTTAATGCGAAATATTTACCAAATTTCCTTAGGTCAGACATACTGTGTTAATATTGTTTTGTATAATCGAAAAACCTTTACTCACGGCTCGTATATTAGTCTAAGAGAAGGAAAGTCACACTGAAAACCTACAGCCTTTGGACCCACACTCGGATTGATCCACTGCTTAAAATCGTGATTTAAATGATGAATTACTTCAGAGTATATCACAATCTAACACAAATTATTTAAGACATAAGTGAAACTGTTTCTTGAAAAACATTCGTTGAAATCACAACCTATGATTATATATATATATATATATATATATATATATATATATATATATATGTGTGTGTGTGTGTGTGTGTGTGTGTGTGTGTCTGTGTGTGTGTGTGTGTGTGTCTGTGTGGGCGTATGGGTGAGTCAGTGAGTGTGTGAATGCACGCGTGCGTGTGCGTAAACATATATATATATGTGTAATGCGAATGTCAGTGTGTCACTGTGTCACAGTGTCACATTTTTTTTTCAATTAAAGGAACAATAGCTCATGTTACAGAAATTTTGGATTCCCAAGTTTTCATTACAGCGATTGTTTTCGGCGATTTTTTACGTGAATTTTCAACGAATTTTTTGTGCGATAACAATTTTTATAACTTGGAAATAAATTTGGGAATAATCGAAATTGATTAGAAAGTCTAAAAAAAGACACGCTAGAAATAAAAATAATTGTCTATACGGATAGTAAAGACCGACATATATCAAACTGCCTCTAAATTAAGTGACGGCAGAAGAATAATCCTTGACCTTTTAAAAGGTAAGCTTAAATATTAATGCAATACTTAAATGCAGCGACCAATTTTGAGTGCTACTGTAGTTTATTGTTGCCTCTTGCATATGGCAGAAGAATGTCTCCCAAAAGGAATCCCCGCTAACAGAGGACCAGATTGCAACCAAAACAGCCAAGGCTGCAGTGAGGCAAAGAAAGTCCCAGGGAAATGAAAC